AATATACAAAACCTACGACTGGTTTTGGCACTGTTTTAAACACATTGTGAACAGGACTCAATACAACGATCCAATCAACTCAACTCTGTTATAATGCAACACAAAGATCGTCTTTATTGAACTCTAATGAACCTCAGTAACAGTTGTCCTCTTTGTATGGTAACAATGTTATTGTTTATGTGCTAACAATGTTATCGTTTGTGTGCTAACAATGTTGATTATCAAAAGTATACAATACCGACAGGTTGGTAAGACACACAGGCAACATTTAGGCAACTTTATTCCGAAATGTTTCGCCTACACAATAGGCTTCTTCAATTGAGTACAAAAACTAGGCAGGAGCAGTAGAGATGTGAAGACGATGTAATCAGTCCACCACCCTTGAAGACATAGATTTGAGGTTGTCAGTCCCTCAGCCTGAAACAATGTGAAGATCAAGCAATAGTGTAGAGACTTATGTACATGTACTGCTGGAAGGAGAGGTGTATAGTAGAAGAAAGAATGTAATCACTGAGAGGTCACACCACGTCAGGTCGGGTCATGAATGGTTGGATCTGAGAGGGACTTGACCTCTCAGTGATTACATTCTACTACTACTCTACACCTCTCCTTCTGACAGTATACAGGTCTCCACACTATCGCTTGATCTTCACATTGTTTCAGACTATGGAACAGAACTCTTCTACAGGCTGAGGAGCTGACAACCTCAAATCTACGTCTTCAAGGGTGATGGACGGAATACATCATCTTCACATCCCTACCGCTCCTGCCTACTTTCTGTACTCGACTGAAGAACCCTACTGTGTAAGAGAAACGTTTTGGAATAAAGATGCCTAACTGTTGCCTATGTAACAATATTAACAATGTTACTGTTTGAGTGGTAACAATGTTGTTTGTTTGTGTGCTAACAACATTATTGTGTGGTAACAATGTTATTGTGCTAACAATGGTATTACTGTTTGTGTGTGTGTGCACTCACCTATTTGTGGTTGCAGGGGTTGAGTCACAGCTCCTAGCCCCACCTCTTCATTGGTCGCTACTAGGTCCTCTCTCTCCCTACTCCATGAGATTTATCATACCTCTTCTTAAAGCTACATATGGTACCTGCCTCCACTACCTCACTCCAGACAATTCCACTTCCTGACAACTCTATGACTGAAGAAATACTTCCTAACATCCCTGTGAATCATCTGAGTCTTCAACCTCCAATTATGATCCCCTGTTGCTGTGTCCCATCTCTGGAACATCCTGTCTCTGTCCACCTTGTCAATTATCATGTCTACCCCCACCCCCATCCATCCTATTCTTCAGTGTTGTCAGATGGATTTCCCTTAACCTCTCCTCGTAGGACATACCCCTAAGCTCGGGGACTAATCTTGTTGCAATCTTTGCACTTTGTCAAATTTTTTGACATGTTTGACTAGGTGTGGGTTTCATATTGGTGCTGCATACTCCAATATGGGCCTGACATACACAGTGTACAGTGTCTTCAATGGCTCCTTACTCTGGTGTTAAAACACTATTCTCAGGTTTACCAGGCACCCATATGTTGCAACAGTTATTTGGTTGATGTGCACCTCAGGAGATGTGCTTGGTATTATACTTATCCCAAGATCCTTTTTCTTGAGTGAAGTCTGTAGTCTTTGGCCCCCTTGACTTTGCACTTGGTGTTGAACCAGGCTTGCAGCAAGTTCAGATCCCTTTGTAGTCCTGTCTGATCCTCATCCACTTGAATTCTTTGCATTAGCTTCACATCATCTGCAAATGGACATCTCCAAATCTATCCCTTTTGTCGTGTCATTCACATATACCAGAAACAGCACCAGCCCTAGGACTGACCCTTGTGGAACCCCGCTCATCACAGTCGCCCACTCTGACACATGACTTGTTTTCTTCCTGTCAGGTATGCTCTGATCCACTGCAGGGCCTTTTCTTCTCCTCTAGCATTTGTACCACTCTTTTGTGTGGTACTGTGTTGAAAGCCTTCTTACAGTCCAAGAAAATGTAGTCTACAACCCCTCTCTCTCCTGTCTTACTGCCTTCACCTTGTCTGTGTGTGTGTGCACATGCATGCATGCATGTGTGTGTACTCACCTACACAAACTTGCAGGAGGTCGAATCACAGCTCCTAGCCTCACCCACAATACTACACACACACACACACAAATATTCCTCTAGCTCCTGGCCCCTCCCACAATGCCTCCCCCATTAAAACATCATCATAATTTTAAACATTATTTACAAAATCTAATTACTAGTATCACCAGTAGTGCTAGTGCTACTACTAGTACCACAATAGTGCCATTAGTACTAGTACCACAAGTAATAGTGCCACTAGTACTAGTACCACAAGTAATAGTGCCACTAGTACCACAAGTAATAGTGCCACTAGTATCAGTACCACAAGTACTAGTACCACAAGTAATAGTACTAGTACCACAAGTAATAGTGCCACTAGTATCAGTTCCACAAGTACTAGTACCACAAATACTAGTGCCACTAGTACTAGTACCACAAGTACTAGTACCACTAGTACTAGTACCACTAGTACTAGTACCACAAGTACTGGTACCACAAGAGTATCATAAAAACGACCTTTGCAACAAAAAATATCTGCTAGACTTTTTAAATCTATAATATTTGTTCAGTATTATAGAATTATAACTTGTTACTGACTTAATTATAGATGTGTTATTATTATACTAGACCAGGAAGACAGAGGTCCACTTAATATTATACTGATGCCTCCTCTTCTTCCTCCTCCTCCTCCTCCTCAAACAAACTTATACCACTAGTGGACTTTTCAAAATCAAAATTTACCCTTCAAAATATCATTAGCTTACATTTTACAACATACGTATCTGACTTTGAATTTGATGCCCAGCGGCTTTTGAAAATCTCAAAATGTTTCCAAACATTCCTTAATAGACACAACTAAGACCATTTAACTCAGAAGTAATTATTTTACACTATATGCCTACCAGTTCCTTCCCAAAAAATATTTTTGTATGTAAAATTTCAATAATTTACAGAATTCAACTTAAATCCTCTAAAAATTCATGGAATTTCCAACATAATGTTCTTGTAAATGCCAGACTTTATGGTGTGTTTGGTAGATAAAAAGAATTTTGTGGTTTGGAGAGTGAACGTATCTAATTGTGTTGGAGGGGGTCGATTCACTGCTCCTGCCCTGGTGTTGTACTACTCTCCAAGCTCTAAGGCAGACCAGACCTGGTTGTTCATCTCAGACTCAGTCCATACCACGGGCGGGATTTGAACCCGCAGTCAGAGAGTCTCAAAACTCCAGACCGTCGCGTTACCCACTGGACCAGCTGGTCCAGTGGCTAACGCGACGGTCTGGAGTTTTGAGATTCTCTGACCGCGGGTTCAAATCCCGCCCGTGGTATGGTTTGTTTGCAATCGTGTTATTACGATTTCGTGAGTCAGACCTGGTTGTTCATCTCAGACCTGGTCGTTTGTCTCAGACCCTATCATTCGTCTCAGACCCAGTCAGTCGTGTCAGACCTGGGTGTCCATTTAAGACCTGGTCATTCATCTCGACAACACGAACATGGAGAATGGTCCTGAGGCGCTGAACAAATGAACATATTACTACACTTGTGTTCCAACCTGGGTATATACAGTCATATGTTTGTGTTGGTATATTACAGGTATATATGAGGGATACCAGGTCCTTGAATTACAAACGCTGTTTTAACAAACACTGGTGTTGCTGGTGTTTTAATTAACAAACACTGGTGTTGCTGGTGTTTTAATTAAACACTGGTGTTGCTGGTGTTTTAATTACAAACACTAGTGTTGCTGGTGTTTTAATTAACAAACACTGGTGTTTCTGGTGTTTTAAATGAACACTGGTGTTGCTGGTGTTTTAATTAACAAACACTGGTGTTGCTGGTATTTTAATTAACAAACACTGGTGTTGCTGGTGTTTTAATTAATACTGGTGTTGCAAGTGTTTTAACTAACACTGGTGTTGCTGGTGTTTTAACTAACACTGGTGTTGCTGGTGTTTTAACTAACACTGGTGTTGCTGGTGTTTTAACTAACAAACACTATTGTTGCAGGTGTTTTAACTAACACTGGTGTTGCTGGTGTTTTAATTAGCAAACACTGGAATTGCAGGTGTTTTAACAAACACTGGTGTTGCAGGTGTTTTAACAAACGCCCTCATTCCCCGTGTTTACAAGCGCGTTGTTGTCCCGACTTGGAATGTTTGCAAGCCGAGGACCTGGTATATAATTTATAAAATACAATAGCTATTGTATCAACAGTATTGCTATTCAACAGTGCATATACAAGCTTTACTGCATATGCAACAGTGACTGCCACTTAGATTCCACAGGAAATCAGAAGACAACGTCTAAGTGATTCATTTACAACTCGCTCTCCACGAGTTCAATCCCCGCCCGTGGTATGGTTTTTAGTGATTCATTTGTTTTGGCAAACAAGGCAAACAGAAATTATTGCTGTCTTGAGTCTATCGCTTCAACAAACGTGGAAATACATGTAGATTTAAAAACAAACGTGTTAACAGATTTAGAACGAGGGAGTAGATTTAGAATGCAGCAAAATCTACCTCCAGAGGAGGAAGGTCAAGGCAAGATTTCCAGCCCAGGAGCCGCGTCGAGGGTGGATCCGATGGTGGACCACTAGCAGGGGGCCAAATAATTGGCCAGGTACCATGTTGGACCACTTTTAGTGTCACTGAACAGACTTAAAACACTAATATCAAAGTTCACTGTTGATTGAATTTTTGCCAGAGTATTATGTGAAGTGTTGCAGCCAGGGTATTGTGTGAATGTTGCAGCCAGGGTATTTTGTGAAATGTTGCAGCCAGAGTATTGTGTGAAGTGTTGCAGCCGAAGTATTGTGTGAAGTGTTGCAGCCAGGGTATTTTGTGAAATGTTGCAGCCAGAGTATTATGTAAAATGTTGCAGTAAGGTATTGTGTGAAGTGTTGCACCCAAAGTATTGTGTGAAATGTTGCAGCAGGGTTTATTGTGTGAAATGTTGCAGCCAGGGTATTTTGTGAAATGTTGCAGCCAGAGTATTGTGTAAAGTGTTGCAGCCAGGGTATTGTGTGAAATGTTGCACCAGAGTATTGTGTGAAATGTTGCAGCCAGGGTATTGTGTGAAGTGTTGCAGCCAGAGTATTGTGTGAAATGTTGTAGCCAGAATGTTGTGTGAAGTGTGTAGCACAGAGTATTGTGTGAAGTGTTGCTGCCAGAGTATTGTGAAGTGTTGTAGCCAGGGTATTGTGTGAAGTGTTGCAGCCAGGGTATTGTGTGAAGTGTTGAAGCCAGGGTATTGTGTGAAGTGTTGCAGCCAGGGTATGTGTGAAGTGTTGTATGAACCAGGGTATTGTGTGAAGTGTTGAAGCCAGAGTATTGTGTGAAGTGTTTGTAGCCAGAGTATTGTGTGAAGTGTTGTAGCCAGGTATTGTGTGAAGTGTTGAAGCCAGGGTATTGTGTGAAGTGTTGTAGCCAGAGTATGTGTGAAGTGTTGTAGCCAGAATGTTGTGTGAAGTGTTGTAGCCAGAGTATTGTGTGAAGTGTTGTAGCCAAAGTATTGTGTGAAGTGTTGTAGCCAGAGTATTGTGTGAAGTGTTTAGCAAGTATTGTGTGAAGTGTTGTAGCCAGATGTTGTGTGAAGTGTTGTAGCCAGAGTATTGTGTGAAGTGTTGTAGCCAGAGTATTGTGTGAAGTGTTGTAGCCAGAGTATTGTGTGAAGTGTTGTAGCCAGGGTATTGTGTGAAGTGTTGTAGACAGGGTATTGTGTGAAGTGTTGTAGACAGGGTATTGTGTGAAGTGTTGTATACAGGGTATTGTGTGAAGTGTTGTAGCCAGAGTATTGTGTGAAGTGTTGTAGCCAGAGTATTGTGTGAAGTGTTGTAGCAGGGTATTGTGTGAAGTGTTGTAGCCAGAGTATTGTGTGAAGTGTTGTAGCCAGGTATTGTGTGAAGTGTTGTAGCCAGGGTATTGTGTGAAGTGTTGTAGACAGGGTATTGTGTGAAGTGTTGTAGACAGGGTATTGTGTGAAGTGTTGTAGACCAGGGTATTGTGTGAAGTGTTGTAGCCAGGGCATTTTGAATTGCTGTAGCCATAGAATTGTGTTTAAAAGCTTACAGTGATACAAATCACAATTTAAACAGCAGTGAGCTTGACAGAGCTCAATAACCCTTTCAGGGTCCAGACCCCTGATCTGACAACTCTCTCAGGGTCCAAGAATTAAAAAAAAAAATCTTATGAAAGGATAGAATCTTTTTCTGAAGGTAGTGATGCCAAAAATACAAAATTGATGGAAAACTTAGGGAAGTTCGCTCTCATAAAGTTAGCAGTCTTGGCAGTGTTTATGAATTGGCAATTTTGCCCACTTTGAGCCTATTTTAGATCAATTCCATTGTTCCAATTGACAAATCATAGCTATTTCGCTAGCATGTCTTCCATTCTATTGAGCGAACACAAGAAACCACCCATTTACCTATTTAAATTACCCAATAAAGTGATCAGAAATTGGTAATTTAGCCAGTTTCACACAAAATTCAAATACGGCCAATTTTAAAATAGGGTTCCAGAATAAACAATGCAGACATTTATGGCACCAATACAGCATTTTCTTCGTTCATGACTCACGTCTCTGGCGACTCTCCTATATTATGCTTCCTTTCCATTTTGAATTTTTATTCACACAAAAAATAAAAAATTTAATGTTATGTAGACTACTGCATAATTGTAAAAATTGTATAAATGTCAGTGCATATGTAAATGCATATTAGACTGGCCAGATGGACCCGTATTGGATGAGTGACTATTTGTGTCTTCTGGAATATCGGCCAATATCGAACATTTCTGTTACCTTGAGCTCAATTTCAAGCTACTTCCAGTCCTGATACCAATCAAATTCATCTCTATTTCTGTAACAAATCTTCCATTCTATCAAATGAGACCAAGAATACAGACATAAAAATCATCGAAAATATATTCCAAAGTTGTTATTTTAACCCAAACACAGTCACAGTTTTCTCTCATCATGCAATGCATGGTGCACACTTACCACATAGACCCATTCTCTCATATCTAGGCCCAAATTTACAGCTCACAGCTTATCTGAGTGAGCTGAGCTGATCACATAGAACTACAGCACGGACCCTGACCTCAAAACAGCAGTACTGTAGCCCAGATCCTGACCTCAAAACAGCAGTACTGTAGCCCAGATCCTGACCTCAAAACCAAAGTACTACAGAACGAACCTCAAAAGGGTTAATTACAGAGCTTATTGACACTCAGAGCTCACTCTGTCAAGCTCAGAGCTTTGAAAACTCAACAATACAATAAAGCCAAACGATAATACAACAAGGAAATACACTATGTATACAAGCAACCAATCATACACTATGTATACAGGTAACCAATCATACATTATGTATACAGGTAACCAATCATACACTATGTATACAATCATACTTCTGAGTGTTTCTGAACTCCCTAAATTAACCATCTGTACAAAGTCTTATAAATGTGTACAAAAACAATTCTAACATCAATCACTAATTGCATAAGATCCAGTCAAGGACTTTGCATAAGGTTGTTCACTTGTTTGACTGTTCCGGCAGACTTTGCTCGGTCAATAAGTCACTTATTAGATTGCTGAAGTGACTTGTGATAGACTTTGCTTGGTCGATAAGTCACTTATTAGATTGCCGATGTAACTTGTGATAGACTTTGCTTGGTTGATAAGTCACTCATCTCATCACAAGTGTGACTCTTCTGACAGACTTTGCATACTAGACAGTCACTTGTTTCTGCCACAGATGCAACAATTCTTTGCATAATATAAGTCACTCGTTGCTTCACAAACACAACACATCCGCCGTTTATCTCAGCATTTACATAAAACACAGTTATACTGAATCTAAAACATCTGCGCATGCATATGCACAGGTGTTTGCAAAATTGACAGAGACAATGCCACTTCCTAGTCTATGCAGGCACATCCGTAAGTGTTTTAAAGCCATTAAACAAGCAAGTTGGTGTTTTTCTCTTGTTTAACCTCATTTGTAATTCTTATAAGTCATTTTAACAAACACAGTTGACGTTTCTCAATTTTTAAATAATTTGTAAGTGTTGTAACCAGTGCATTGATGTCTTACTGGCATGCGTTTGTTGCACAAATGTTCGATGTCAATACACTATTGAACATCTTGTTATTGCAAACTGGGCAGTTGTTGTTGTTGTCTACGAGCACCGCCGCAGCGACCTGGGCCACCATAAGGTCGTCTGTCCTTCAACACACTGTTATTGTCGTCAATAATGGTGTTGTTGTTGTGTACCAGTGCCACTTCCTCCTCCTTCTTCTTCTTCTTCTTGCCTCCGACACTGCTCTTGTGCGACGACCTCGCCGATGATTGCTTTGAGATGTGCACTTTCCCCCGATGTGGCATGGAGCTCTGGAGTTGGTGGCAGGGGGTCAATGACCCCCGGGGTCCTCCAGACAACACACAACCTCCATCAATGGTGCGTCGTGATGCCAGGGATGTCGCTACGGCAGCAAGGTTCAGAAGAGCGTCAGCGCCAGCAACCAGCTGCCTCATACCAGCCTCA